CTCCTCTGCTTCTGGGAAAAACCCTCCAACCATCTTTGCCTGGTTTTATCGGCGACAGTTCAGACCTGGATTTAACGTGTTCCTTTAACTCTGTCCCACCTCTCAAAGGACGACCTTGACTCTGAAAATAACCTCCAGGTCGACCTCCTCTCCTCGTCTGTCGAAGACCATGTGACTGTGTCTTCCTCATCATGACCACAGAGGATCCAGGACCAGTTTTAATAAGGCGGACTTCAACCAAAAGATGAGTACAAACAGAGTCTAGTCTGGAGCAGAACCGTCGACCTTAAATCTGCCGTCACTGAAGGAGAAAAGAAGATCAACCAAGCTGTTTTATAAAATCTCCAGTTTGTGACATAAAGAAAAGATAAATTCACAGATTAAAACGGATCATTTTATTCGACATATGGGGGGTCAGTCTGAGGTCTTAAAGCAGGATTTGGTTAAACTGAAGCCTGGTCTGATCTTCATGGGCGTCTCCCAAACATCGACAGAGGGATCGACAGGTTCAGCAGACTCCCAGGACTCCTCACAGGGTCCAATAAAAACTCCAGACTTAAACAGATCAACCACATTGAGAGCTTCAATCTGCTGCTGGGACGCAGACGTCTTATCAGGGCAGATGGCGTCCGCAGAGACGGATAAGGAAGTGAAGCACTGATGGACCAGCTTTGGTTCAGCATGTAAAGTCTTTAACAAAGTCCTGTGATGATGAAGGAGCCGGAAACATCCAGAAAAAGAGGAGCGTGTCTGAGCAGATCAGCCTCCCTTCTTCAGTCTCCAGTCTTCAGCCTGTATGGGATCCGGTGATAAGAGGGAAGTCTGGTCCATGCTGGCAGTCAGACTCACTCAGCGGTCAGTGTGGACGCCGATAAGAGGCCGTGTGGTCACATGTTCGCTGAAGGCTGAACCAGATTCACGGAGGAGTGTCGGGGGGGAAAGTTCCTGCTCTGGGGCCGACTGATCGGATCGTGATGCTGCAGCGTCTCCGACACAATTTTAACAGCTTTATGAACAAATGACAAACATGAATCAGAGTCAGAATAAATGAAGGTTCTCAGTGTTTGTTTAAATAAAAGAATCTCTGCAGCCGGAGGTTCATCTGTGATCATATCTGGTCTAATCCTAGTAAAAACACGATGTCTTCAGGTGAATTCTTCTAAAAAACTCAGTTATTCTTCTGATGTTTTTTACTCTTTGTAAATTTTGTCTCTGCTTCTAGATGAAACCTTTTTATTTATGCACCTGGCATCATTTCACTTCAAGTTATTTTATCTTAATTTATCAACAAACTGCACTTTTTAAAGCACAGTTTCATTTATATTTTTGTTCCAAGAAACAAAGAAAACTGGATCCTATTCAGACCTTTAGATTTCTCTTTGAATCACGGTCCAAACAAAATTTCAGACACAAGTTTAATAAAAAGTCCAATCAAAATCAGGAGAGAACTGATCGCATTTCTAACATGAGTTAATTAATTTTACTTTATCACTATTTATATCAAGTTCTTCATTTTTCTGAACAGTTAATTTTTTCAGTCTGTTTTGTTTTTAGACCATCTTTGCTCATATATCTAATTTTTTACTCTAATTTTACATGTATTTAATAATATATTCTTTCACATTTTGCCGTACATATATTTAATGTACATTTCCATATATTTTAACATATATTAAGCATATTTTATACCATATATTGCACCTATATCTGTACATATATTTCATGTGTTTCCATACACATCACATTTTAATATACTTATAATATACTATATCATATATTAAACATACATGTGACTCTACATCTTTACATACATAACCATATAATTAGCAAAACATTATGGTGGGTATTAATATACACAAAACTGTATATATTTTAAGGTGTATTTTATAATAGTTTGCATATTTTGCAACATATTACACCAATACATGATATATTGTATTACATATGTGTCAATCATATATTATTGCATGTATTGGAAAATAACACATTATAATACACTGGTAAATATATTTATAAGGGTAACTCACTGTGATTCAGTTTGTGAAATGTTCATCTCTGTTCTGTTTCTGCATGATGGGATACGTTACTCGGTTTGTGACACTTGGTTTGATGCTACTTTTGTGTGGGTACACTCTATAGTAAATTAATTTACAGCTTATTCTCTATGATAGTACATTACATAGGGGGATTCTGGACAGAGAGACAGTATGTCCAGTTACCATGGCAACGTGATGTCCCCTGCCTGCCTGCTAAGGGAGGAGGGAGGCACTCGACTGCTGTAAACCTCTCATATAATGTCTTCTGAAAAGAAACGGCAGTATTATCCTTTTATTGTGCGATAGCTTTACCATGAGACCGTAAGTGTACAGATCATGTGACCAAACATATACTACCACTCAGAACAAGAACATGAAAAGGACGTCCAAGAAAAGCTTTCAGAAGCTTTTAGCCGAGGGTGGAGGGGGCCGGGACATCAAACAAAGAGAGAAACCATAAATATAAGTCCAGCATTTGTATAGAGGTCCTTAATCAGATGTAACATCACATGAATCATCCGGGTCAAGAGTTTCGAGGAGAGCAGGAACTTCAATCTTCATAATCGGTCCATATCTGAAGACCGAGAGCGACATGTTCGAGAGAGGACGCCAAATATCAACGATCCAGAGTCGGCAAAATTAAAACACGAGAAAAGACGACAAAGAGAGGAAGAGGATCAGAGTGTCTTAAAAACATAGAATGTAAATACTCTGGACAACTTGGCTCCTTCTTCCGTCATTATATGATTTTGAAGCCGAATTGTACATATTCGGCGGGAGAGTCGCTGTGATGACCCTCGGCTCAAACAGCTTTAAACTGTGTCATTAATTTCTAAAGTTTGTCCACAGTTCCATAAGGAGGCGGGGTTTATGACCTATACTGCAGCCCGTCACCAGAGGGTGCTGTTCTTGCAGTGGCTTCACTCAGCGAGGAGGCAGATGGCGTCCATTCTACATACAGTCTATAATTAAACCCTAAACAGTCAGATCAGGAAATTATTTACTAAGGTATAATTATCATTATTATCAAAGTTATTAAAGTTCAAGAGTCGCCGACTGTCAACTACACCATAAAGATGGCGTCATCCACAACCCTGACACCCACCCAGCAGAAGTCCCTGGATGGGTGCTACACCAGAATTCTACGAGCTGTTCTGAACGTGGACCAGAACATCCACATTACCAACAAGGACCTGTAGGGACAACCGCCGAGGCTCAGCGAGAAGATAACATCTGGGAGGATGAGGCTGGACGGCCACCGTCATAGACATCAGGAACTCCAGGCTGGTCCTATAGGAACCAACACACGGCACCATTCACGACGACGTTCAGCGCTAACGTATGTGGACGTCCACAACAGGCGCAAGTAGTTCATCTGTTTCAAGTGATGGTGTTTGAGCGTCTCCCATCAGGCTAGAAAAAGAAAATATTATGTCGTGTTTGCCGAGCTGCAGCGTTTCCACAAACTCTGCTAACTCTTTGCGTTGCAGCACCAGGATGTCAGAATCAGTCTCCCTGTCAGCGCGGCTCTTTCTGCGGCTTGAGGAGATAAACGCCGGCTGTTTTAAAAAACTGAAGCCGGTCGGAAAACACCAATCAAACAGCAGACGGTCAAAACTTTGCACTTCCAACTGTGCCGTAATGATGTGACAAAACTACTATCAGAAGTCTGCAGCAATTTTATCATTATGTATTTTGATGCGGCGGTGACACCTGTGATTAGGGCTGATAGCAGGTGATAAGCAGTAATGGGATGTCAGTGTATTATCTGGAGTCAGGAAAGGTGAACAGGAGGAGGAAGAGGAAGGAGCAGCAGGAGACAGACGAGGAGAGAGAGAGAGAGAGAGAGGAGAGAGAGGAGAGAGTTATATGGAGGGAGAGTGCTGCTGACAGGTTCATCTTTTCCTCGGGCCAATGATGTTATTTAGTTAAACAGATTTACACACACAGACCAGACAAAAACCGAGCGCACAAATCAGTTTCAATAAACAAACCCAAGCTTTACGGGTCCTTTGAAAAACCTTACTCCTGATTATTTACTGAGACGCCGAGTCTGTCCTCTGAAAAATGACAACATCCACACTTTTTATCTTATTTTCCACAGCAGCTCTTTCTCCGGCTTTCGCTGGAAGACTCTCTCACAGCTGTACTGAGTGAGTCAGAGACGCGTCTGCTTCGTTTTCATGAAGGTTTCCGGTTGAGTCAGTACGGACCCTTCTTGGCACCAATTTGCAAACAGGCTGCAAACAATTAGAGACTGCGGTGAGACAATCATCCAACGGAAGAGGAATTTCTTTCTCTAGAGACCAGCTGTCCGCTGTATACGAGAGGATGGGAGTGACATTCATGTATATGGTGTTTTATTTCAAGGATGACCTTTCTCACGCTTGTTTTTGCTGCGAACTAACGACATAGAACGGACAAGTTATCAAACAGAGTTAAAACATTTGAATAAATATTGAATAAAAACATCAAAATAAGTTGTTTTTGAGCCAAAGATGTGAAAAAATATGAATAAAACGTGTTTAAATTAATGCTAAAGTATTGTAAATTTGCAGAAGTTTTAAGATTTTAGTGAGGGACTTTGTGAGCTTTGGCGCCCCCTGTGGACAACACTCTCTTTGCTCACCCGTCCCCTACATGCATAAGAAGCGTCTCTTGACAGAAAACCAAACGTGACTGAAATTAAGTCCCAGTTTGTGATGTTTATGATGCCCTGTTGTTTGTTCACTATACAACATATTTGATTAATTAGTTAAAAATAAATTCCCCTTTTTTAACTCTCAAAAATCCTCGGCACATCTCTGTCTTTCTATAAAACAAGCCTGTTAACAGTCAAATCCTTCCAAGCACCCAGAGTGGTTCCTCGGTTCGGTAGCATATTTGACTCCCCAGGGTCCTCTTACTCAGTGAAAACTCCCCTGAAGATTGACTAAATCCCCACTGATCAGACTCTAAGAAAGCATGAAAGCAGCTGCGGTTCTTGTGGAGCTTTTGAACCTGGAGGCGATCCAAGACAACCTTAGTGGGGACCTCATTTCTTCACTTTTATCCTTTAAAACCTTCGACCAACAGCGAGAGCTCAAAGAGTGATGTTATGAAGTCAGCGCCTCACTCATAATGACAGCTGAAGTTAAACTCTTCTGATGAAACAGCCTCATTGATGGAGAAGGACCGCAGACACTCGGCTGACTGTCGTACTGACTCTGATTCACGTTCAGACCCAAGAGGAGCTACAGGAAGGATGCTCGTCAAAACTATAAGATATTATCTATATTCAGTGCTGGTAAACATCCTCGTACCCGTGCTGGTTATCCGTTTTAGGCGATGTGGAGTTGAAGACTTGAAACAACTGTATCACCAGTTTTTGGACCAACCTGAGCTCCACCTGAGCTCCTGAACGTTCCTCTGGATCACCGCTGTCGATGTGGACCTGCTCGCTTTCCAGCTGTTGCATCAGTCTCTCTCCTCTCTGTCCAACCCTCTCTCTCTCTCTAAACCCCATTCAGTCTCAGCAGATGACGGTCTAACATCAGTCTGGTCCTCCTCGAGGTTTCTGCCTGTTAGAGAAGTTCTTCCTCTCTACTGTATCTCTCTTCATGCTGTGAAGTGTTAATCTGATCTCGTCTTTTAATTTCCTTGAGGGAAATTAACTAAAGGATAAATAAGATTGCAACTAATCTAATTTAATCTGATCTAATCTAGTCAAGTGTAGTCTAGTGTGGTCTAATCTAGTCTAGTCTAATTGACTGTAATCTAATCTGATTTGACCTACTCTACTTAATCTAATCTATCTAATGTACTTAATCTAATCTAATCTAATCTAATCTAATCTATCTACTCTACTCTAACCTAATCTACTCTGATTTGATCTGCTCTATTTCAATCTAATCTAATCTAAACTAATCTAATCTAATTAAGTTTTTGTAAAAAGAGTCTAGACCAGCCTTCTTTTGTTAAATCTCCCAGGATTACACTTGCTGTGAACTGATGCGGCATAAATAAAAAATAATTGATACCCTCACAGGTAATCTCTATTATTGGTCGGTTCTCTGGATTATCCATTTCTTATGCAGATTTAAGGCCCAAAACTTTAGTTAAAGGTTAAATGTTAAATACTGTGTCTGTAGCCATCAACCACAGGTCCTCCTGCAGCTCTGCTCAGTGTCTGCTGCCATCATGTTATCCTGCTCCACTACCTGGATGTAAACAAGCACAGATGAATGATGACATCCTCTAACGCAGTGTGACCCAGAGAGCAGAGATGAAGCTGTTTGTGTTTGAATAAACTGACACAGAAGCATTAAAGCAGAGTCACGCACATGTGGGAGAGGAGATGGTGGTGGGAGGCAGGAGGTGGTGCTAGCTCTGCTAGCGTTAGCCACAGTTGTTTCAAACCTCCAGTTTGAGTTTCTGAGAGATCAGTAATTTCATGATATCCCTGCAGCATCAGAAAGACACTCAAACGATCTTCAGAGGCTTCTCTGAATAAACGTAATCAGCGAAATCTGCCACATGGTGCAAACTTCACAGAGAGCATATGTCATATATGAAACTGACTCAGCACAGTCAGAGTATTTAAGGACAAGTTAACTTATGGAAATGTTTGAAATATCCCACATGACATCAAACAGATGGACTGGATGTATTTAGTTTCCAACACTCCTGTGGTGTAAGATTGCTGATCGACACAAGCTGTTATCCTGGAAACACTGGCTATGCAGCTCTGCAATTAGATGCATCTGTGCTCTGCAGAGGGAGCGGCAGCGTACAGCGTGGCTAAGCGCCAGGAGGGAGTCTGGATTGTTGCAGTGGTACTGATGGCTGTGTTTGTGTTTTCCCCAGAGGCCTCGCAGAGCGTGGACCCATGGGAGCTGAAGCAGCGAGCCAGTGGAGGACCGCAACATCCGCAAACACCGACAAGAGAGAAGACGGAGAAACCTGGAGGGACGAGAGCAGAGGTGTTTGAACCGAGTCTGACGCTGACGTGGAAGAACAACCTCAGCTCGAAAAATCTGCTTTCATACGAGGAAACCAAAAACAAAGTGTCTGATCCAAACAGAGCGACCCGAACAGACCTCCTTCAGGGTACGAGACAAAGACAAAGAGGAGTCCGACTTTTTTCATTGCCTGCTCAGTTGGAGGTCCGTCTCCGCTTTAGTTGCTTGTTTGTACCGATTTAAAGTTGTGCAGGAAAGCTGAATTGCTGAAAAAGGAGAATATTACACTTCCACTGGAGCTGGAGCCCGCACACTGACGACTACATCCATGTCATGTCTGTACACAGGCGGCTCATAACTGTCAGTTTACTCAGAGTAGTCTGACAGCCAGTAGAGCTGTGTGATTTCTATAATGTCTCATATGTTCTCTTACATTTCTCACCTACGGCTGCAGAGCAAACACCACTGACATTTCATGGTGAAGTACTTACTAATAGGCCTGATCTATATTATTATTTATAGATTTGATCAGAAAAACACAGTGATTCGACTTTGATGTGACCTACGGCTCGAAACTATAATCACAGCGACATTATTGCCTCGTATGGTGCCAGATATTCTAATCCAGACCCTGTGACAGTGAAAACCAGACTAAGCTATCACAGTGAAATACATGCACCAATGAAGTGATACTGATGTTGATTTGGAGCCTTTCAAAATAAAAGCATACATACAGTGAGTATGTTTTTACATCAGAAATTGATTCGAAGCCTTCCAAATTAAAAGTGATTAATTCAGGTGCGGTTTTTTTCCTCTCATTAACTTATTTTATTTCTTCAATTTTTATTTTATGTATTTAATGTTAATCTGATTTTTTTTGTGAATTCATGTGTTCAACAAAGAGAAAATACAAAACAGGACGATCACTTTAAACAAACTAGAGAACGTGAGAAAAAAACGTCACCTCAGGTCCTCTCAGTGGAGGTCTGCACCAGACCATAAACCGTATATAGAATGGACGCCGTCTGCCTCCTCGCTGGGCGAAGCCTCCGAGAACAGCACCCTCTGGTGACGGGCTGCAGTATAGGTCATAAATCCGGCCTCCTCCAGCAATCCCTATGGAGCTGTGGACAAACATTATAAATTACTGACACAGAATATAAATGTTTCTCCCCCCTGTCGTGATGTTGACATGAAGCTACTGTCAGACTGGTTTGTTAGGGGGTTCATGTTTTCTATGATTGACACTTGATACAGCCTATGGGTGAACAAAGATTGCATAACTCACCCAAGGGATACGCTTTTCGAGTCGAGCGTCATCACAGCGACTCTCCCGCCGAATATGTACAACGCTACTGCGCAATGTTGGTTTCAGGAAATGGAGAAAAAAAACACAGAATTACCGAAAGCTTCTTGGGTTAAAATCTATATACTGGTGGAAGGTGGAACCAAATCATCCACAGTATATACAGTCTGTGTACACGACCCCTCTCAGAAACCCGGTGCAGGAATTCCTTTAAAAGTCACAACGTTAAACACGACAGCGTTGATGCTAAGAAGGATGTATGGTTTCACTACAGTGTCAACAAGCAGCAGTTAATTCGCTCGAAATGTATCTCTTAGATTGACTGGATTTGATGTCTCATCTGTGCAGATTTGACCAATCAGAATCAGGTATTTCACACAGTCAGGTGATGCGTTTTTAAATATCATATCATCATTATTGGGGTATTTGTCAGTGTTAAACACCCCTAATGGTCAGAATAACATCGTCCTGTTAATGACAAAGCTTTAAAGACCATAATAAGTCTGTTCTCTGTAACCCTGACTCTAAGTGAAACCTGTTTAAAGAGAATAACTCTCACTCCGGAGGAGCAGATCAAACCTCCCAGCTCTGAACATGACGGCGAGGCAGGAGGTCGTGAGGTTGAGGAGATAAAGAGACTTAGCTGAGGTCCAAATAAGGTAACATCCAGAATCCCCTCTGCTGTTAAAATAAGGTTAAATCACCGTTAGCTGTTTGTTGTTGTTGTACGAGAGGCCAAGCAGAGCTAACGCGGGTTAATTCCTGCTCTGTTTGATCAAAGTCAGTGTGATACAGAGAAGTATCCTGTATGGCTGTACGCCAGGAAAGAGCTCGGCTGTTCAAATACAGAAATCCTATAGGACCAGCTCAGAACAACAGCTGCTGCCTCGCTGAGGCTTCAGAGCTTCACTTTAATCACTTGATTTGTTCTGCATTACTCAATTTTCTGTCTCTCTCAATCCTGTTCACTTCACTGTCTTTACTCCTGTTTGTCAGTTTCTCTGTAATTTAGCTTTAGATGGAGCTACACCTCTGCAGTTTCACTTCAGCCTGATGCTGATATTCAGTAATTGTTGGTGAATCACTCCAAAAACCTGCAGCTTTAAAAAAGTGTCTATGAGAATTTGGAGTTTCCTCATTAATCGCACTAATCAATCTGTTGTCAGCTCGCCTCTCAGACGTCCGTCTGTTCGTTCAGTGTGATGCAGACCGTCAGATTTGTTCACATGATGATAAAGAAGTCGAGCCTCTGAGCTTTGAAAGCTGCAGCTTCACACAGAAACGTCACATTTGGTTAAATATTGTTTCCTGATCAAACTGAGACGACGTTTGAGACTTTAACGGCTGTTTTAAAACGCTGTTTCTCCTCTGTGCCGTCTATTGTTACCTCCTGTATTCCTATCTTTGTCCAACTCTGTCCTGGAATATCATGACATTTTATTCTTCTCACCTAAAATACTATTCCTCTAAATATAACACTTTAAGTCATGTTCATGTCCTTCTGTTCACAGTGTCACAGGTTTCCGAGTGGCGAGGGCTGCATCACGGAAAGGTCAAGCCGAGCGAGGATAGCATGAATTTAGCTAACTGGACAGCGTTGTTTTCTCGTCTCGTGTCTCTCTGGGCTGTTTTCTTCTTTTGACAGAAATTCAATCCTGCATCTTTACTGTCCATTTTAAGAAAAAAACGTCTCTATTGTCTTCCTCGTCTTGCACTCTCCCCACAGCTGCTGCTCTCCTCTCCTCTTTCTTTTTGTCTCAGCAGATTCTTTTTAAACAGAAGTCGAGTTTTTTCCACATTAATCACTTTTCACAGCAGATCCTGGGATCAGCATGTGGAGGAGGATTATAATTAATGATGAGGCGTTTTATAAACGATCAAAAGAGCTTTTAATTAACTTAAAAACAGAAACAGGACAGTAGATTTACATCAAGAGGGACAGGAGGGTTTGGTGTACACAACATCGTGACAGTCAAAGGGGAACACGCTTTACACCAGCTGTCATTGTTCTTAAGGTCATTACACACTCAATCCATCCAACCAACAAACCATCCAACCAACAATCCATCAAACTAATAAACCAACAATTCATCCAACCAAAAGACAACCTATCCAACCAACCCATTGTCACTCCAACCCAACAACAAGCAATCTCTCCATCTAATCAACGAGCTAACAAACTGACAAACCAACCAACTGACCAGTGAATCAGCGAAATATTCAGTTTACATCTTTTCATATACACACCTGGTGCCAAGGGAGAACAGAGGGGGTTTATTGGTTTTTAAAGCTCTTAATCTTATTTATCTGATCTGCTTTTACCTTCTGAGTCAGGTCGAGTCCTCAGGTCTTCAGGAAGTTCTCTATTAACATTTCCTAAAGTTAAAACCAAGATGTACGGTGAGACATCTTTTTATTACTACAGCCCCCGTCTATGAAACAGCTGAAGACCTGAGGACTGAAAATTATCTTAATGACTTTAAAACCAAACTCAAAATGTACCTTTTAGTCTTGCTGTTAACTCAATTTTTATCATTAACTTCTAGTGTTTTATCATTTATCTCTTTCCAGTTTTAATGACAGGAGCGTCTTTATTGAGCTATTTTGTTGCTCTTACTTTAGTATCTTTACCTTTGTTTTTATCCTATTTTATTTATTCAATTTCATCCTAAACCTTCAGTGTCTCCTTATCTTGAATTTTAAAACGGCATTTCCTCAGTGCACACTCAACTGTTTAAGTTCATGCATTTGAATCCATGTGTCTGTTGTTCTTAGATCCCGGGTGTGAATGAGGGGTTGGATTGGGGTAGATTAGGATTTTCTTTGTTTCTTTTATTCCTCTGCTGTGTAAAGCACTTTAAGCTACATCGTTTTTGTATGAAAAGTGCTTTATAAATACAGACTGATTGATTGATTTATTTTGTTCTGCACCGTCCATTCTTACCCCACGACCGAAAATTCGGTGTCACCCCTAGTTGTAGATTTCCTCAAATACAAAAGCGTCATGTGTCGACACGGTTACAGGTCTCTGGGGTATCTGTCAGCTACCTTTCAGTAAAACACACATACACACACCCCAACACACAACAGGCACTACAAAACCTATTAAGACTTTACATGAAGAGGGAGCTGAAAACAGCCGAGCAAGCGTCTTTGGAGTCAGTCTGCTGAACATGTTTTACAAGACAGGCAGTAAAATAAAGCCGCACAGTGTCTGAATTAGCTTGTACTCTGTCCCCCTGGGCGCTGTGGAGGAATTACACTCACATTAGAGTACTTTGTCTGCTGGACATTGCTGATCTTCTTCACTGTAGCCCTTTCAAGCTGTTTTCCAACAATTAGGTGTTGAAATCAGGCGACTCTGGAGGCACAGGTACCTGATTTCATTAAAAATGGATGGAGCGGCGCTTGTTCTGTTCACTCAGAGCTGTTTTTCTTTTCAGAGTTCAGACTCGGTTCCCTTTTCTCTGGAAAAACTTACTGTGCCTGAATCAATATTTACTTAAACAGACGGAGCAATAAGGCTGAGGAAGTTGTGGAAGTTATTTTGTGAACAGTTTTCTGTTTCGGTCAGAGGTGCTTCACTCGACCTTTCGAGTTTACTTCCACGGTGTTGTAGTCTGTGTATGTTCAAGTCAATGTGCTTCTCCTCTTATTGACTCCTGCGGCCGTGCTGCACAAAGACAGAGAGATGAGGAGCACAAAGAGCCCGAGGTGAGACCAGAGTTTAAGATCAACACTTTTCCATGAACCTGACGACTCTCTCTGTCCAAGGATTTTATGTGAAGATGGCAAGAAAATATCTGAAAAGCCCTCAATGAAAATAACCTGGACTGTGTATTAAAGGTTCAGGTTTCCCTGCTGATGTCCGGACTTTATTGACTCTATTGATATAAACTGAACACAGAACCTCTGAACCGAGAGCGTCATTATTACATGAGGTTTAAATGAAAAAACTCACCATGAAGCATTCACATGAATGTTTTTGGATCTTCAACATGACGATCGACACACAGCAGCGGTCAAAAAATAATTTACTTTTTTCAAACAATTTCAGACAAACTTCTGTAAAAACAGGAAGACTTATTTAAAGAGGCTGACGCAGACTACATTCAGGGCCTCCAGGAAACTGACAATTAACCAACCAACAATTCATCCAACCATCCAACTAATACACCATCCATCCATCCAACCATCCATCCAACCACCAACCAACCAACCAACCAACCAACAAACCAACCCACCAACCCACCAACCCACTGTCCCTCCAACCCAACAACAAGCAATCTTTCCAGCTAATTAACTATCTAACCAACAAACAAACCAACCAACTAATCAACTCATTATCCAACCAACCCATTATCCACCCAACGAAACAACAATCCATCCACCAAATCAACTACCCAACCAACCAGCCATCCAACTAACAAATCAACTAAAAATCAATTGAATCAACAAGCTGATCAACCAACTACTACTACATCTATCTAATCAAACTACAAACCAATCGGCAATCCATCCATCCATCCATCGACCAACCAACCAACCAACCAACCAACCAACCAACCAACCAACCAACCAACCAACCAACCAACCAACCAACCAACCAACCAACAATCCATTCAAAGATCAAACCAACTATTGACAAACCAAATAAACTAACCAACCAACCAGCCATCCAACTAACAAATCAACTAAGTAACCAAAAAGCCAACCGACCAACCTACCAACCAATAATTCATTCATCTAATTAGAAAACCAACCAACCATCAGTCCAATCCATCCATCCATTGATCAACCAACCAACCAACCAACCAAAAAATCAATTATAATATCATAATCTTAATTATTTTGATTGGCATTAGCATCATGACCACTGAATATTATTACCTGTGATTTTTAATCTGCATCACATGGAATTACTCGACTTCAAACCTCTTTAACACCTTTGACTTTACTACAGCAGGTGAGTCTGGGTGTTTTATTAACAGTTAATACTGACAGGAACCATTTCTTTACTTTAGGTCCTCATCTAGGAGGTAGGTCTCTGGATTTCATGAATCAATGTCTTATAATTAAAATAATAAAAAAAAAAGATGTGAATCAGAAAATTGATTTTTTAACTCTGAATAAAGAATGTAAAATAAAGTTCAGCACACATGACAAATGATGCATATCCCTCATTGAATTTTTCCCCACAGACCCCCAACCCCTTCCTTGTCATCACTAATGTGCACCAGAGGAGGCCCGTCATCAGCGGCAGCAGAGAATCTGCAGATTAAAAATAGCTGAAGAGCACAAGGAGCAATCAGTGGACTACATGTTGTGTGAAGATCAAGTAGGGGGGCTGATCACCTCCTATTGCTCGCCCTGGAAAACTGATGCCCAATCAATTCTTCAAGGTGCACTCTGGGAAAAAAAAAAACACTCGCTGCTAAGATTTCACCAATCGGAGGAAATTCACCGAAGCAGAAGTACTCTGGCGCTGAGCGGCACTTTGTAACTCTGTTGATGTGACAGCTGCAGAAATCCAGCGCTTTGTTTCAGGATTTGTATCTTTTCTGCAAACATTATCCGGTGTTTACTTACAGCCGAAAGGAGACAAAAACAGTGATATAAAAATAAAACTGACCCAGCAGCCAAAGTAGACCACTGAATAGATTATCAACAACAAAACGACTGGAGATACAGTGAATTCAAGAGACACGCAACCCTCGACTCTGAGTCCTGAGGTGTCCCATCTTCCAAAATAATGTCCAAGTGTTTACAGAGGATCTAAGTGAGTGAATGAATGATTTTATTTTGGTATAATATGATCAAAAGGGTGTAAGCAGAAGCAATGCTTATAAAGACCAACCTCTTATACCATACATGGAGTACATTATACAGATACTCTCTCTTTATACAAATATCAACACTTCAATATATTCACTCACAAAATCAGAGTGAGTAATGAACATGCTTTACACTTTACATTAATAATCAGACATCATTTTCTCTACAATATTGAGAAATAACATTATTCTTGTAAAGTCTCTTAAAGTTTACCAGAGTACGACATTTTCTAATTTCTACCGGACAGTCGTTCCATATTTTCACTCCTTTTACAGACACACAAACATCGTTGACATTTGTTTGCACTTTCGGTTTCTCAAATAATCCACAGCCTCTTCGGTTGTAATTAGAGTCCAGTGGTTTAAACAGGTTTTGGGCCTGTTATGGTAAGGCTAGGTTTTTGGCTTTGTACATGATTTGTACTGCGATGTAATCGACTAAGTCTTTGAATTTTAAAAAATTTAAGGGAGTAAATAGGGGATGAGTTGATTCACAGTAATCTTAGTGAGGGCCTTCAGGAAACTGCCAATTAACCAACCGACAACCCATCCAACAGATAAACCATCCAACCAACCAACCAACCAACCAACCAACCAACCCATTGTCCCTCCAACCCAACAACAAGCAATCTCACCAGCTTACCAACTAGCTGACCAACTGCCCAACCAACAAACCAACCAACCAACAATATTGAGAAATAACATTATTCTTGTAAAGTCTCTTAAAGCTGACCAAAGTACTACATTTTCTAATTTCTACCAGACACTCTTTCCATATTTTCACCCCTTTTACAGACACACAAACATGGTGGACATTTGTTTGCACTCTCGGTTTCTCAAATAAAACACAGCCTCTTAGGTTGTAATTAGAGTCTAGTGGTTTATACAGGTTCTGGACATGTTACGGTAAGGATAGGTTTTTGGCTTTGTACATGATTTGTACTGCAATGTCTTTGAATTTTAAAAAATTTAAGTGAGTAAATAGGGGATGAGTTGATTCACAGTAATCTCATTGAGTGCAACATCGAAAACTTGACCAGAAAGTGACTCCATCCTGAATCAGAAGAGGTCCTCAGGTTGAGTCGAGCACTAGACTGACTTTAAGGCAGAGAAAGAGTAAATCTGCAGATAAGTGTGGATGAATAAAGGATTAGAGGAGAGCAATAACTCACACTGAGGGGAGTGAAGGACGGTAAAAGAGAAGGACACGGATCGAACAAGTCAAACGTCGACATAGACAACAGTTCACTGCAGCTGACAGATTGTTTCTTCTAGATGTCTCTCTCTAAACCTGCAGAAGTCATGTAGCTGTAAACACAATCTCTTAAAAACACGCACTTGTCCTCTTGCAGGTGCTGCCTTTCTGCTCCTGAGGGTCCAGTTTTGGTGCACATGTAATTTTGAACCCTGAAAGTCTTAAAATAGCTGGCAGGTGTGAAAAGGCCCTCGTGTTCCTCGTATCGCTCACTATCAGGTCATTCCAGTTTGTCCTGCTGCCACACTCATCATAAACTGCTGCTCATGGAGGCAACAAACCACAAACCCACAATCCAATTTCACTCAGAGTCCCGTTTTGTAGAAATGATGCATTATGACAGCCTCTCTGTGCACCACATGACTGATCACAGCAAACATTTTCTGATTGGCTGCGTCTAAAAAGTGCCCGTCGTAAAGCTACTGCCATCGCTGACTGACAGAAACAACCGTTTTCACTCCAAACCCTGATGGAAAAAAAGAGAGATTTCTCAAGTCCAAACTTTGTGCGCCTGCTTTAAACTCCCGTGTATTTTTCAATTTTCTCTGTAGCGGGTAAATATCAGGGGTGTCAGAGTGGAAGTGCGAGGGTAACCCGAGGGCGCAGTGGTCCGATCTGGGGGCGCACAGAGCACAGCGTGACACCGTCTCAGCCCACAGACGCTGAAGGCTGATTGATGGTGGGAGCATCTCCTCGAGTTCAGAGAGGAGGAGACCAGAGAGTGTTAGAGAGAGGGGAGGAAGAACGAGACGGACAGATATTGAGTGTGAAATGAGCATGGAAGTCTTATTAAAAATCTCCATGCGGCTCGTCGATGTTTAACTTTATGATGGACATTGGATCTCCGCGGCGAGCGCAGGGTGGTGGCCGCGGCGAGGAAACTGCACCTCCAGCTAAATCAATCGGACAGGTATGAGATTAAGGAGCGGCTGCGGCTGAAAAGTTTCCCCATCAGCCAACCTCAGAGATGAGACGAGCAGCATGTGGCTCCGTGTGATACAGGTGGAGGCTGTCGGAGGTCCAGGAGCAGGTGACCTCAGCCTCCCGGCTCTGCAGGGACCTGTTTATGGCCTGCTCCCCTTTTTATCACACCTCACCGCAGGCCTAATTAACAAGCTTTTCAGCTGAGTCCAACAAGGAATGCTGGGCATTAAAAGTCCAACACCAGGACCTGCACTCCCTCAGACCCCAGCCAATTAATCCTAATATAATTAGAAAGGGCCGAGGTTTGGGGAGGCGGGTATTCGTATCAAAATCCTTCCCTCTCCATCGGCGCTGCCTCGCGGTTATCTCCTGGAGACTCGGTCTGATATGAAACTCACAGATTATTGTTTGGCGCCGATTCAAGGATGTGTCCTCTGATGAATAATGATGACCCCTGAGGCTGAACCGCCGTTTCTGGAGGTTTATTTAGGTGGACAGGACAAGGTTAAAGTCAAACCCAGGGATGCTAACCCAGCTGTGGATTATTGACAACATAAATTTATCTGTTTATTTAACCTGGCAGTCAAACAGATGAGTCCATCAGATACTGCGCTCGCTCGGGGAATCTGCAGCCTTTCTCCTGTGAGTTTCAGACTTTTACTCACATTTCAGATAGTTTGAGGCTTTATTTTTTATATTTTTCAGTATTTTGTAAAAATAGTTCAAGCTGTCCTCGGTTATTAGTCGACTAATACTTTATAAACAAGCAGAAAAGACGAGGGTCAGTCACTCTGAAGTAATGATCGTTTAATCACAGTCCTCCACAAACCTGCCTTCCAAATGATTTATCGTTTTTCCTCTAGCAGACAGAGTCTGAATCAAAGTGCCGCCGTCGCCGCCGCGTCACCAGAACAACAAGAGTCGCTCACATCCTCGCTGCAGTTTGAAATAGTGTCATCAGTCTGGCCTTTCGTGCAATCAGAGACCTTTTCATGTGGAGCACACGGAGTCAGAGATCAGAGTCATCTCCGGTCAACGGTAACATCACGTCTGTGAGAGAGGGGAAAAGTTTCCTGGTGTGAAAAAGCAGAACCCGGACCCTGAGAAGAAGTCCACGTTCTGAAGAGTTATTTCCATCAGGGCTTTTAATCCCTCAGAGTCCCTCCACAGATCTCTCCGACACTATAGCCGCTCCATTAGTCGGATATTAGCAGAGTGCAGGTTTTAGCAGCGAGCTCTCTCCTCCCTCGATTTCTGCAGCACAAAGCTCCACCGTGATGATGAGGTGCTGACCTAATTTACCTCCAACTCCACAGGTCTCAGAAATCCTGGAAAGAAAGTCTGGAAACACTTTATATGAACCCACTGCTGATAATGCAGCAAAAGCACACTTATAAAGCCTTAAAATTCATCTATAAGGGTTTATTATACAACTATTATGAGTGATAATAACAGCTTAGAGCTCTGTTGATGAAGGGTTACAGGCAGTGAGAGTGATAACTCATAAATATACGATTTTAAAGGTTTTACATCTTAATGTGGAAGAAAAACAGCTTCTCTAAAATTCTGGGTCTAATAACATTAAAACTCAGTCTGACCTGATTATTAAGGTTCATTAAAAAACTTATTTGTTTTATTATTACAGGTATCTTTTCAAAAATTCACAGTCTGAATTTATTAATAATCACTAAAGGCTAAAGCAGGACTGAGATAATTTTAGTTTAGAGAAAAACTAGATATAAAATACCAGAAACTAGACAAACAAACAAGAATGGATGGATGGATGGATGGATAGATAGATAGATAGATAGATAGATAGATAGATAGATAGATAGATAGATAGATAGATAGATAGATAGATAGATAGATAGATAGATAGATAGATAGATAGATAGATAGATAGATAGATAATGAATGGATGGAAAAATAGATAGATAATGGATAGATGGATGGATGAATGGATAAAGAATTGAATGGATGGATGAATTGATAAATGGATGGATGGATAATCAATGGATGGATGAAGGGATGAATGTGTTGATAGACAGGTAATGGATGGGTGGATGGATGGATAAATGGAGGGAAGAATGGATGGATGGATTGATAATAGATACATGGATGGATGAATAAAAGGTTTGATTGATGATGAATTAATGGGTGGATGGATGAAGAAATGAATTGATGGATGAATTGATTAATGGATGGATAGATAATCAATGGGTGGATAATGGATGGAGAAAAAATGGATGGATGGAGGGAGGGAGGGAGGAATGGATGGATAATGGAGGGATGAATAAATGAATGGATGGATGGATGGATGAATTGATTAATGGATGAACAGATAATGGATGGATGGTTGGATGGATAGATTAATGGATGGATGAATGGATAATGAATTAATTGATTGATGGATGGATGAATGGATGGGTGGATCAATGAATAAATGGAATGATGGATGGATAATGGGTGGATGAATTGATGGATGAACTGATTAATGGATGGATGGATGAATAGTGTTTTTCCAAACCAAAAGTGAAAACCTGATGATTCAGGATCTGTGTGTTTTTTTTTTTAGCTCCTGACTTTCAGACTCTCTTTGTTACAAACATGTTGTTGGTCTGCGCTGATTCTGAGGTTTGTTTATCAGTAAATCTTATATTTATCATAATGTAAATTTGTCATGTATAATATAATAATTTGTAAACACTGACCATACTGATGAAAAAACATTTAGAGGTTTTCTTCTCCACTAACATCAGCTGATCAGTTTTTTTCTCCGTCTAATTCAGACTGACCTAAAATTAGACTAAATCCTCATTTCTCCTTCCTGCCGGTGACTCACTGACTCGGAGTCTTTTCATATTTTCACCGGAGGTCAGCCTGCTGTCAGCCTGTTTGTTGTGCTGATCCTCACCCTGTCTCCCTCCCTCACCCCTGCGTTAATAACAGCCCGCACAGCTCTGAGGTGCTGTTTGGCACTTCAGCTGCGATCTCCCGCTCCCTTCGCCCTGACGTCTCACCTCCTGCCGCCACTGGAGCTGTCGCCTACATTTCACTTTTACTGACCTGCATCCCGCCGTCCCTCCCAAGCCTCCTGTCCCACAAGTCATTTATCACCCTGTTTGTATTTTTTTTTTACCTTCCCCCTCCTCTTCTTCACACCTTTCTGTTACAAAAGCATGGTTTCTAATTAAACTCTCTAACTGTGAGGTTAAGAGCCAATTTCATGCACCTTACTCTTGATAAATAGGCAATAACCCCTCCACTCTTGCTGTCCGGTCCCTATCTGTTGTGTCCAGACTGCTCTGGTGCTCCAGCCCTCCCTGCTTCTCTTAGTTTCATCTGTAATAACCTCTATTATTCAGCTTTCTTCAGAAACGTCATTATCAATGTTGAACTTTTTATTACAGAAATAACTCTAACAGGAAGCTGAATCTCCAAACTTTCTCCCTCCGGAGCTCCGGGGCTGAAGTTTAAACTGAAAACTGTTCGGCGAGAGTTTCAGATTTTCTGTGCTGCGGCATTAATTATTCGGCTCTTATAGGACTCATCGATTCTCAGAGATGGAATGTAAAACACGAGCCTTAAAAAAAAAAAAAAAAAACGGGCTACTCATTTTCTGAGCGCAGAAGAATAGGAGGCGGCATTGATCAGGCCCTTTGACGAATGGTCATGCCTGAAGGCTCTGTTGGACGGAGGATTAATTACTATCTTTGCTCTGGAAAAGGAAACATTGATCTGCGTGAGAGGAGAAAAAGAGGATTAATGATGGCAGCTTTATGTTGATTAAGATTAAGTGAGACAGAGAAAAAATGTCAGATTTGCACGTCTGACACCGCGGAGTGAGATGATTAGCACTTTCACTTTGAGGACGCCATACTGGTTTGATGCTGAACAAGGATTTAAATTAACCCGAGAGTCTTAAACCTTTTCTTCATGATTAATCATCAGTGACACAAAGAGATGATTTAATGTATACAGATGGGATTTACATATTTTTACATGTTGTATATCCAAACATCACATATGAGACTATTAAGACGCTGCTCAATGAAAACAACATGTCTGTTTCCAAATCATTAAACTCCAGATTTCATTAAAATAGAGAAAAATAAAACACGTCAAATAATAAATCTGAACTTTTTCTGTTTTATGTAAATGTTCAGTTTAATTTGGTGTTTCAAATGTTTCACAAAGACGGTACAGTTTTCAGGTATCAGTGCGTACAAAGGTTAGTGATGGAGTTCCTCAGGGTTCAATGCTAGGACCAATTATTTTTATTTTATATACACTAGGGCTACACGATTGATTTTAAATTGTAATCAGATTATTTGACTATGATGAGTCTAAAAAAAATTAAAATCCTCAAATTGATTTTCCTTTCGATCATGTCTCGCACCTCCAGGCCACTGTAGGCTCCTCCTTCCTGTGGGAGCGCTCCCCAGTTCCCTCACACAACGGTGTAAACAAACACGGCGTTTGCAAAAGAAGGCGATAATTTCGTGGTTAAAAAGGACAAGAGCGAGTCAGTCGTGTTGAATTGGTACGACTTCACAGTTTCAGATGAAGAGTAAACCACTTCCTGCTGCAAAGTCTGTCTGAAGGCGGTATCAACCCGTCACCACGGAAACAAAATCAGGAGTAAACGCAAAAGTTTTTTGTCGTATCGGCGTTTCAGGTGACTGTAAACTGTACTTTTTGAAAACGGGTCAGAGAGTGAATAAATCCGTAAACGACGACCATTTCATCTCCGTGTGGATGTCTATCTGCATCTCTGGAAACGATCATGTGACACACAGAGTAACTCGGCGCCAAAACAACCTTCATACACATGCTCTGGACTCTTCTTCTGTCTTTTGTGCATTTCCTGTGCAGCGTTACAGCGCCACCTACTGGCTTGGCATATGTACTACATCGTTTTCAGTGGTTTTGTTTAGAAAGATGATAAAATAAACCATTTCATTTTTCACTCAAAGTACTCAGAAATCAGGAAATACAGATGACACTCAATTATACTTTTTACTGAAGAAGGAAAAATCAACAGATCACCTTCACTTGAATCAAGTCTCAGTCGTTGTGTAAAGTAATATAGTCTGAGTTTTAAAACTTCTGATGAATTTCTAAAGTTGTACAAAAACTGGACACGCTCACATTTATCCTAGCTTTACCAAATTATTGTTAGCTCGGAGCACAGGAAGAGTAACGGCTAATTCTTGTAGAAGCACTAATTACTGATCACCATTTCAAAGCTAATCATTCGTGACTAACCGATTATTGACGAGTTTCAAGAAAAGACAGATTTCTCCTCAGATGTCTGTTATGTTTTGTTCACAGTCAGATCATCAGCCGTCCGGACAAATTTTCCATTTTTCAAACTTGTTTTTTTTTTAATTTGTTCAACTACTTATTAAGTCTCGATGTTTACATCTTCTATTCCTGCCAAATTATAACGAGAGTCCTGTATTCACTGTTTTAAAGTGTTTTTTTTTTCACTGGAGTAGATCTTTAAAGCTAATTGATTAAACTTTGGTACGATGAACACAAAGAACTAAATGAATGATGTTGATCAGAGAGGATATGTAAAAGAAACAGATGAAAGTTTCCATAAAAGACTCGCTGCTCCTCCAAAGTGGAAACACTTGGAAACAGAAGTATTACAAACATGTTCAGTGGGTTTAAACTCATGATAACTTCAGAGTTTTAAGTTAATTTTGGTGAGTTTAATTTTCCTTCACTGTGAGATAATTCCCGTATATTTCAGTCTGGTTTTAGAGCCGGTCACAGACACAGTGACTGATGATTTACCTTTGGCAGCAGGCGGGGGAGGGTGTGATTGAGATTCTTTCAACGTCTTAGTGCGGCGTCTGATACCTTTGATCGCCGTTTTTAATTAGGCGGATATTAGGGACTCTGCAATTAGCTGGTTTGGTTTTTATCTTTTAGACCAAACGTTTCAGACACCACAGGTAATTACTCCTTCTCTATCTCTGCCGTTAGCTGTGGTGTACCTCAAGGTTCAGTTTTGGGTCTGATTTTCTTTTCTTATACGCGGAAGAGTCTACAGCTACTGTCAGAGTCTGTAGAGTTAATTTTACAGACAAAACACGTCAAATCCAGTCTTGGTCCCTTTAAATATAAACAACACTCACCTGGTCAGAAGTCATCCTGTAAGTTCAGAAAGCAGAAGATGGACTCACTCACGTCACCTCAGTTTTGGTGCCCCTCTGTCGGCTCCCTGAAAGTTTCAGAGTTGATCCTTTTTAAAGTGTTTGAGTCATTTTATCGATATTATTTTTGGGTTTTATTACTCGCACAATCACCACAAGGGGGCACTTCAGGTAAATGGGCAGGTAAAAGGGACACAAAGGGGAACAGTGTTGCCACCCTAATGACTTTGTTGCCAGATTTAGCGACTTTTCAGACCCCCTTAGCGACTCCTTTTTAAAAAGCACCTAGCGACAAATCTAGTGACTTCTTCTAGAGTTTAGAGACTCTAACATGAAAGCAGGTATCTATGTTACTCTTCTAAAACACAGACACATACAGGCAACCTGAGGAAGACCATCGACTTTTACGACAGCCACTAGCGACTTTTCTTACTCTGAAGTTGGCAACACTACAAAGGAACGGGAAGAGCACATGTTTTTTACCGCTAATCTCCTACAAGATTCTCATCCTTATTGCGCACATCATCATCACAGTAAGTTTTTTTTTTTTGCTAATCTGCGACACCACTCTCACCCTAATCACGTACATCACCATCACAGTAAGTCGGACAAATCTGTCTCTTTTTTGTTTGTTTTTCATGAAATCAATAAATGTCAAAAACATAACCCATCAATAACCTTGGATTGGACACTGGGTCGTACAAGAAGCGTGTCAAAAACATTTCACTGGTACACACGGACGGTGACAAAAATTCAGGTCAGAATAGTCACGACATAAAGACCTTTGGGGTCTAACTCCGAGCTACCTTACAGAGTCACTAAGAGTCAGATCGTGGTCTTAGACCCTCTGGTGGGGGCCTTTGCCATGAGGGACCCTTGACTTTGGAACAACCTGTACAGAGGTGCACAATCAGACCCTCTTCTTAGACTTTCTTTTGTGTTTCTGTTTCATGCTTACTCATCTCTGGGTCTCAGGTCTCGATCTATGTGGTCCGGTTCTCCTGTTTCAGGTGTTAGTTTAGGACTAAACTTCACATGTTCTGCTCTTGTGTTTCTATTTTGTTTTTATTGAGTTGTTTGTGTTGCTGTACAAATAAATGTGTTTTTATAGTAAAAGAGGAAGTTGTCGTCTTTTGTTTTTGTGCGCTCCCTCTGGAAGTGTCTACCTGTCGCCGTAGATTGATGAAGAAACGCCTCTTTAACCGTTTAAAGTTGAGTTTCTTTTCCCAAGCAAACTTCAAAAACTCTTCACATTATCTTTTTCCAGCTTCACAGTTTTAATTCTGTCCTTTATTCTCTGGACGTTATTATCTTATCTGCGTTTTAGTGCTGAATTCTTCAACTTCTGCTGCGATGGCCAAAGTTCCCTTAAGAGATCAATGGAGATTTAATCTTATTCCATCTTATTAAGATCTAATCTCAGCGTCTACTTAGTGCACACAGAGGTAATCAAGAGAAGTACACACACACATACACGTGATGACCCCGAGAGACGACTAATTAAGACCAAACCGGCGTTCAAATACAGTTGATGGTGGTTTTAACGGAGTGATTGAATCTGGACTTCCTGAAGTCTGAATGTTGAACTTTATCCTGTTTTATCGAGTCCGTTTACACGTTACCAAACACCTTTAGAAATAACCTCCATGTTGTTTATTTTTGCCACAGTGTAAACAGGCAGGAGTACAGACTCGTTTAAATCGCTTATCTTGGTTTTCGCTGCTCGAAGGAATAACAGAATCAAGTCTTTAACTGATCTCGCTTAAACATAAACGTTTTATTTTAAAGTCAAATGTCTCTTTTCTTACTCTTTACATCTTGGTTCGCCCCTGGTGCTCGTTTCTGAATAAATATCCCGACCAGCGCCGTAAAAGCCGTTTAGAGGCTGTTATGTGCTCGAGAAAGAGCAGAAATATCCGTCTGAAACTGCGGCTGGTTTCCCTTCCTCCATAAGTCATCCTGTAAGGACTCGGCTGTAAACGGGAAACCCTTCACGGCGCTCTATCATCAGGAAAGTGATGAGTCACAAGGAGCAGAAAACGACAGAGCCATTTGGGTGTATAATTTCTAAATCTGTCAGAGAGAGGAAGAGGCTGAAACTCATACATTTATATTTATAGAGAGATCTGCGTTGCCATTTTCTACTGTACGCCTGCTGGTTTTTCACTCTGAGGGAAATGAAATTAGATTTATTTTCTCTGTGGCTTTCTAAACATAAATGGGCTGACAAAGTGAATTCATACCAATAAAAAATGGAATAAATGTAAAAGCTAAAGAAAATCGGCAGAAAAAGGAGAAGTCTGGGTCTGATTTCAGGGCGGGACGTCAGAAAAACAGCAGTTAGAGCAAGATTTAAAAATGTACAGAGGTTATTTGTAAGATCTGGAAAAGTAAGGTTCACATGCTCTGTACACTATAAACATTAACCTTTATGACCTATACTCTCCCGCGTGGTGAATCAGGGACCGTCACACATGAATCCAACCAATCAGGGTGTCTGCTCTCATTCCCTTTAAGAGTCAGGTGTATCTATGATCAGAGGTTTCTCTATTTACACCTTTCGACTTAAACACACCAGACTGAAGCGGCAAATTCAGCTTCTCTCCTTCTTCTGTGCCTCAAAATTTCAGAAAGATCCTGTTTAACTCTGAGCATGTCTGAGTGTGTCTGTTAGAGAGTGCGCATGATGGAGAGCTTACAGATGGTCTCGGTCTGCAGAGCTGAGCTTAAACAATGAGGATGTCCCTGAGATCATCACCCTACTGTACCATAGTGTATAGAGACAGTTCTGGTTACTCCTGAAATAACACTCACTTTTACTCCACCAGTGTGTGTTAGTATTACTGTGTCTCTACATGTAAAAATGAAAGAACTACAGGTCGCCAACTCTTGTGGCCATCTCACTGTCTCTCTCACGCACCCTGTAAATATCAGGTACATATTGCACCTCGGGCTTCAGACCTAGGACCAGGTTTTTGCTGGTTGAAGATGGAGATGCTCTCTACACCTTCAACATATCAATGCGCCTCTTTTGTACCCCATCTTCTACTGCAAAGGTAGCAGGAAAGCCCAGACTTCTCTCTTCCCAGAATTCCACCAAATGCAGATCCGCTCCGCTCCAGAACGGCAGGTGGATCAAATACACAAGCATACAGCGCCCACTGGATCCGATTTGCTGCAGCAAGTGGAGGAGAAGCGCTTGTGATATTACCAATATTTCTTTATAGATCTCTGGTTCCACTGTGAGACATTGACTGAGATCGGCGGTGTATAAAAACACCCACATCCAACAACCCTGGCCTCTCCTATTATCACGTGAAGAACAGTTCAACGCATTGACTTTATTTTGAAAATTAATCTGTTACTTTACTCTGTAGCCGCATAAAACTTCCGCTGCCGCTCGTGCTGCGCTGCACTGAGTTGAAGCGTTGTGCTGCGGCGTCCGGCGAAAATAGAAGCCTTGCGTATCTGATCCAACCACTGGAGCCGATCCACAGTAGAGCCGGACAGTGGACGGATTGTGTGGAATCACACGCTTTGATTATAATGCTTGTGTATTTGGAGCGGAGCGTAGCCGTTCCGTGTCCTGTGGAATTTAGCCGATAGTCTCTCCATCATGTCTCGGTTCTTCCCTGCGGTCTCCTGCTGGTGGGACTTGCTCTGAACACCTCACCAACGAGGCATCCTGGTTTGACGCCCACGCCACCTCATCAACAGTTATTACGAGTGTGACTTTTATAATGTACCGCACAATCTCTGTTCCTGAAATGTTACCTGCCTGATGTTTGAGTATAACTCAGTCCTCGTCGACCTTTTCCGTTTATTTGTCAGGAAGCTTCTATAAATCTCTAACACTGCTGTCCACTCTTCATAACTGAGGCTGAGCGTTGAAGAGGACAGCTGATCTTTAGTAAACATATTTGTGTTTCGGCGCGGCCCTCGTCTCTACAAACAGACTCGCTTGTTTTTTACGAGAGCGGAGACAGCATGTGGCGCTCTCATGGTGCTACCCCGCAGTCCTATTGACTTGAAGTGTTTGGATTTTACCAGGTGCGAGGCAAATCTCTTGGTTGAAATTATAACAGCCTATTTGCCATGTGGCCAACTGTGGCAGTTTGTACTTTCAATTGAATTTTATCTCTGCAGCCAGCTATTTGCAGATCATTACACAGGGAATGCAAGCTCTAGATTGCCAAGAGAGCAGCAACAGCCTTGTGCTGGTTTGTTTGCTCGCTCATTTATTTATGCTAGTCAAATCTGAACAACGCTGCTGTTCATTTGGGATACTAACAAACTGGTTCAAGGTTGTTGCAGTGGGAGAGAGAGAGAGAGAACGAGAGGGAGTGCGGTGCATTCAGTGGCAGCTTGCTTCATTTCAATGCTGGCAGGCTTTATCACACACCTACACCGCGCTGCCTTCATAGAAAATGTTAATTCGAGAAGTGTAATGCAGTGTGACAAGAGCTGTACCGCTGCCAAAACATGCAGGGCCAGGACTGCAGGAGGCAAAGGCCAGCACCAATGAACTGGAGAGATAGACAGCTAGTTAAAACGCCTGTGGCCAGCTGGCCTCAACAAAACCGGCTCTGAACATTAATGAGTTTTTTCACAGGCACTCTGACTGACAGGCATCAACTCTGATCTCTTCACTGCTCTGAAATCTTCTCTGGATTTCGTCCACAGGAGTCTGAATCAGCCTCCTGGCTGTGAGCTCTCTCTCCCAGCTGCATCCCTCCTGCTGCAGACAGACAGACAGACAGACAGACAGGAGTGATTTCACTCCCAGGCTTGTTTCAGGCATAAGAAGGTGTTTTTACGGCTCGTACCCAAAGGATGCTGCTTTTATAGACTTTAATATTTCATCTAAACATGTCTGTAGCTGCTTTAAAGCGTTGTGACCTTCCTTACATCTACATTTGAGAAAATTCCTCCGAATACAAAGAGGGTTTTATCCTCATGACTCACACGATGAAATGAAAACACAGGGAAACGACAGAGACGTGAGAATATCTGATCACTATAATGGGACCACTTCTGACTATCCTTCATTCCTGACATCAGCTCAGTATTTTATTCTCCTGTGACAAAGAGAAATGATTTACCTCAGGTTTGGGGAAACTGCAGCAAAATACTGTAAATGTTAATATAAAAGTCGAAAACTGAAACTGATTAAATAAAATTCAAAAAGGAATTAGACGGAGACGATCGCCAAAAATACTCAAACAAAGGCGGGACTTAACTTATTCAGTGCCAGGTTCATTTATGCTATTTTCACCCAGTACAAACATTGACCACTATAGAAATTTCCGTACCTTTCAGGACCAACAGAATGTCTTGTGCTTGGACCAGCATTAAGTGCAATGTGTCAAAAGAAGGAGGTGATTCTCTTCTTTAACGAGAAAAAAACATTAGTCTCTAACCCACTCCTGTGTTTAGTTATTGCCTTCTGAATGCAGCGTGGTCCTATCATCTTTGACGATCCGGAAAAACATTTTTACGAAGGCGAGATTTTAGAGCAGAACTCTGATCGTCTTTTTCATTTCACTTCAAAACTACTTTACTGGTGGCATCAAGGTCCTCCCTCCTCGGACACCACTCAGTTCCAGTTGTGATAAGTCACTTTGCGATGGCGGGGAGTCGTATTGGCTCCTGAGAACCTGACAAGTACTTGCTCACAAGTACCGGCACCGGCGGCACAACGACACGACGAAAAATAGTTTCTTTGATTGTTTGCTGATGATGCGAAGGTCCGGTACCTGGATCTCCACTATCCTCTATTGGTAGCATCGCGCCCACTGGAGCTGTTAGCTCTTGGCTAATGACTTCGGCATTTTCCGACTCTCCTCATAGAGAAAAACACTCCACAACTAGGCTTATTGGCGCACTAGATGGCACACTTCTCACTGGCGAGTATTTGTTTTTGTTATTGTAACATGGTTGTGACGCATTTGTCGGCTTTTCTGTGTTCAGATTGACCCCAAATTTAGTTGCATGTTGGGGAGCAGCGCCCTCTGGTGGAAAACAAAAAACTGAAAAATCTGTCAAAATCCATCATTGGCACTGAATGAGTTAATAAATACACCGCTGCCTTTCAACGAAAACTGAAACTGGTTAAATACGATACGACGAAGGGACTAGACGGAGGCGATCGCCAATAGCGTGAGTTTCCTGTTGTCGGGATGACGTCACACACGCTGTTATTAAAAACTGGTCATGTTCCACGCCCGTCTGTGTCGACTTCCTGGCTGCACGCTCTCCTCCATGATCCCACAGCATCCTCCCTTCACTCCCGGCTACACCGTCTCACATGCAAACAAGATGTAAGGATAGCTGGTGTGAAGACGCTGTTACATCTCGGCGGAACAATCCCTCTTTCACTTGGCACACCTCCACAGATGTTGAGAGGCTGTCTCGCTGCAGCGCCGTTGGCCCGAGGGAACATCTGGCACCACCCACGATCTGGAGCCGTCTTTGTGCAAATGTGTGAAAGGGAGAGGATCTAAAATTCATCATGAGGAAAAAAAAAAAGAAAAGTGCTGATTGCAGGTCCACAGAGGAGACGGTTTTCATGGTTGACCGTTCATGAACCTGAGTGAAGCTGTAAGCACCGAATAAAAGAGGTTATTTATGAACAACAACAGGAAAGAGAGAGGGAAAGACTGAAATAATCCTGTTTTCTGAATGTTTTCAAGTTAAATTTGTCAAGATTTAAGATACAAAAATACGTCTTCTCTTCCTGCTTTTGTGCTTTTATTTTGAAACAGGATTAAAAAGGTTCTCTGAGAGGTTTCTTCAGTTCAGGGTGAAGGAGCATCTTTGGACTCTGAGATATCTGATCCTTCATCTCTAAACGAGAATGATGTGAATCATGTCAAGAGCAGCTGCTTTAAAGGCTCGATGTGTATCTGCCGCCCTGAAAACATCTTTAGCTTTTAACTAGAAAATATAAACATTGCTCTGCGTTTTGGTTGGCGTAATTGTTGCCACATGGACAGAAAATTACTAATGTACATCAGCTGCAACTCTGCAGATCCTCCATCTGTGGGAAACGGGGGATCTCTCAGTCTGTCCCTCTTTTGCCATTTGTGGCAGACATTTGGCCCGATGATCTGGCACCGGGTTTGAAACTCAGCCGGCTGTTAAAACTGAATAAGCCCGGCCCTCTGATGTCTGACTGCATTTTTTCACTTCAGCTAATGAATCTGTTCAAAACGGCACCTTGATGAATGCATGAACAACAGGTTAACACATGAAACGAAGCTGCCCACGCCTGCTGTCTTTGGGATTTCTCTGACACAGGCTTTCAGAATCATTCTGGGGATGCAAACCTGCCTTTCTTTGGTGATAAGAAATTTTTAAAGCGATCTGCATCAAATCACAATTTAATGTTTATCATGATTATTGTGAATTTAACCATGGACGATTGGTACAAAACAAGGTGCTCGGGTCTTGTTGCTAGCTCCCTGGTTCTTATGCTGGTTTAGCTTTGCAGTATGTTCAGGTCTACCAGTATACTGATGTAATGTGGACATTTGCCATTGCTTTAAACAGAAGATAATATAGAATCAAACACACAAGATCAGCCCCATGGAGTCGGTGTTATAATGCTATCCAGGGTTTGGACAAAGAAGAGCCGGAATTTAACTCACAAACTATTACTTTGACTTAAGGTCCTTTTACACCAGGAGTGTTTTTGTCATGCGATTATTTTTCGAACCCGTATCCTGTCAACACAAGCGTTCACATCAGCGATGTTTTCCTGTCCTGCGATATTGCCGCATTTATTTTTTCGGATCATGGTCGGTTTTTCTAAAGTTTCACATACTGTGTGTCCACTTCTGACCAATCAGATCTCGTGTTGTTGCGACGTCAGATTTGCCGGTATATCCAACATGGCCGACCAGCTGATTGTTTATGTGTCGGAGAACAGAGTGATTTTTGATAAAAGACACAAACATTACAAAGTTAACGACCTGAAGGACGACTTGTGGAGAGTCATAGTGTCGGATCTCTCATTACGATGGTTTGTGAGCTTCAACAGTTTGATAAACGTCTTTGTTTTAACTTTCATCTGTGCTAACGTAAGCTAACAGTTGTTCCCATAGTTTCATGTGCTTATCTGGTACTGGCCCCTGACTCAGTACATGCTATCATGACAGAAAGCCATCTCAACATTATGGCCCGCCCTCCTTCGCCTCTGATTGACTATAAGTGCTGACCATTTGGCTTTTCTAGCCAATCAGAGGCAAAGGAGGCGGGACTTTCCCCGGGAAAAATCTTCCCCGGGATGTGTTTTTTTCCCCCCAGAAAGTCGCAAAATCACATCGGGCTTGATGTGTTTAGGCCCTAACGTAAATAAAATAAGAATAATTGGTCCTAGCATTGAACCCTGAGGAACTCCATCACTGACCTACTGGCACTAAATTACACTAAACTTTTACTTAAAACACAAAAAAGTTCAGTTTCATCATTTGACAGTTTTTTTTTTCACTGTTGACGATTATTTTTTCAACATCGTCATAATCAAATAATCCGATTACGATTAAAACTCGATTAATCGTGCAGCCCTACTTTGAATACAAATATGACTTTCATATTTACAGGACGACAAAAAGGAGGTTTTACTTTGTCCGACACAGTTAAAAGGTTCCTTTAAATTCTTCACGTCTACTTCACCGTCTCCGTCTGCAGACTCTAGTGTCTGTTTTTATTCGGCTGTGCTACTTTGATCATCTTGTCTCCTTTTAATGCATCAACAGCGTTAGGAGTTAGCGTCCCTATTGAAAATAGGATTATGCATCTGAAAGGGATCTAAACAATAAGCCCCTTAAGATCCATCAAACTGATTAGATAGAAGAAGATGTCGGAGCAGCCAGACAGACGAGAAACATGTAGAAAAGACAGACAGATACAGAGTCGGAGACAAGAGAGGAATCAATACACAATTTGTAACTGAATAATTGACATATTGGCATATTTCTCAGAGATTAAAAGCTGATTGGGGTTGCAGGCAGATGGCACGCCTCCTCATTGGCTGAAAGAGGGAGACAGAGAGACAGAGAGACAGAGCCGAGACGCTGCAACGTGACAGAACAGCTCTTAACAACCTCCCAGCTGGAAAAGACAAATGGCGAGTCTGATCAAGTCAAGTTTATTTCTAAATCAATTTCCAGGAAAAACATCTGTGACAAAGAGCTTCACAGACAATAAACACAGACAAAAACAAGGACGCGGTGGCAGGGCTGAGACGCACAGGGTGAGTGATGCTGCTTCACTCCGCTGTCTGTAGATTCACCATATGCCCCCTCTAATGGGCACTAGGGGGCAGATTGACTAATGGTGTGTGTGTGCATGTGTGACAGAGTGAATAAATGAATGGTTATGTGAGCGCATTACTTCGTGCATCCACAAGAGGCTGCGCAATCAAAAAACAAATTTCACAAAGAGGGAACAAACACGAGCGAGAGCATCACCAAATTCAACGGATGGGGCCGGAGTGTGTGTGTGTGTGTGTGTGTGAGTCTGAGTGTGTGTGTGTGTGTGTGAGTGTGTTAGGGGATGAAATCACATTGCAGCCCACTGGAGAAATAAGTAAATGACAGACCGCAGGCGAGCAGATAAAAGGAAAGGAAAGGGTAGCGGCTGATGCTGTGGAGGGAGGAGGCTTTGTGGTGGAGGGCAGTCAGTCGGACTCCTGAAGTGCTTCTTGGCACGCCTCAGTGGAAAGAGCCGCCGACTCAAAGTGCTCCATCGCATTGACATTTTGTCATCGAGAGGGAGGAGGACATTGTCCATAATAGCAGACTGCAAACATGGTTTTCTCCACCAGTACCCCGACTGAAGGAGAGTGCCCCCCCTCCACCACCTCCACCCCTCTGACTGAACTGGCTTTTCTCAATTCACAGCGACTTGTTCAGAGATGTGTGTCCCCCGAAATGATACTGAGTGCACCCGCCGACAAACACCCTCAGTCCTGTCAGGGAGGCTTAACGCTCAGTCTGACAGGCACAGGATTAGCGCTGAACCACACGGTCTAATAACTGATCAATAGAAAGTTAATCGACTTAAAAAGGAAATGAATTGATTAATCCTCTAAGAAATCTATCAGGCGACAAAGTCACAACGTCGGCGGCTGCTCCGAGGGGCCGCTCTGAGGGGCCGCACTGAGACACAGCAGCGGTCCGGTCAGAGTAGTGATGGGGATGGCAGCTAGTTAGATGTACTTAATCACTAGAATCAGTTCACTAAAAAGATTCGTTCAAAAGATTTGTTCACTGAATCACCGAATCATTCAGTGATTAGTGATTCCTTTACTGATACACAGCCGAACGGTTCAGGTTTCAGGTCAGTTCACGGCTTCTGGGACCGGGAGACGAGAGTGTTGTGGCCGTGTAACCTCGACGAACAGGTTTGTAAAAATGAACTCGTTTCTAAATCATGATGCTATTTACCTGGTTTACTTGGTAAACTGGTCTCAGTCAGTGATTCGTTCACTGGACATTCACCCCACAGTACATTCAGTGAAGGAATCACACTGACCATGTACCGTTTCCTCCCAAATCGCCACAATGATAGGATCAGTCACACATTTACTCAAACTGCCTGTTTTAAAACGACTCGTTACCTACTGTGTGCTGCTGACGAACGGATCATTTGAGGAAGGGATTCTGATTAGCAGGTTCACTTAAAAGATTCATTCTTTTGAACCAATCATTCGCAAACAACACATCACTAAGTCAAAGCTAAATGCTAATGTCAGCAGACTAACATGCTGATGTTAGCTGAAATATTTAGCATAGACAATAATAACCGGTCGGGGCATCATTTGTCTCTAAACTGAAATAATTGATTTTTTATGAATGTACCAATCAGCCAATCACAGTTTAGGATTTCAGGATGGCCAATCAGATTTATACCTTCTTGCTCCGCCCCTTGGTTGATCCCACTTATAATCAACATACTTGGCAATATGCAGATCTGTGTTCCCTCCTAATGAATCTGTACAGCCCAAAGTACAGACTGATAATATAGACAGAGTCAGGCTGAAAACTATCAATTAACACCGTTCAGTGTTGTCACAAGGTGCAAAGACAATCAGCACCCCAGGGGGACTGAAGTCCTCACCAGACTGTGTGTAAGAAGAGACAGCACACTTTATGTAGAACACTGATGTTAAAGCTTGTTTTAACTTTGTCCTTCTCCACTCTTACAAATCTGGTTTCAAAGGGTATAAAATGATTCGTAGTTGATCTGATCTGACATTTCAAAACCGTTTTAAGTTTGTATGAATGATGTAAATCAATATTTATAAGTGTAGATAACTATTATAACTCACTGACAGAGGATTTAGAGGTTTTAGAGGATCCACTTTGACCACGCAGTATTTCAACAGGAACCAGGACAAGTCTTACATATAGACTGTATATACTATGGACAACTTGGCTCCGCCTCCTGTCATTGTATGAATTTGAAGCCAAAAAGCTCTCGGTATTTCTGGGATTTCTCCACTTCCTGGAACCACCGCTGTGATGACGCTCTGTTCAAACAACGTATCCCCCCGGGTGAGCTATGCAATCTTCGTACGCCAATAGGCTGTATCAAGTGTCAATCATAGTAAACATGAACCCTCTAATAACTTTTAAAAACTGAGCTGTACAGAAAAAAGAGGACTTGAGCACAAACCAGTCTGACAGTAACTACATGTCAACATCACAACCAGGGGGGAGAAACGTTTATATTCTGTCATTAATTTATGAATTTTGTCCACAGCTCCATAGGGATTGCTGGAGGAGGCGGGATTTATGACCTATACTGCAGCCCGTCACCAGAGGGTGCTGGCGTCCTTTCTGTATACAGTCTATACACAATGTTGGCCGCCCTGTTTTGAGTTGTCGTCCATTTATCAATTTAAACATCAGTCTGATTAATCTCACCTGTGTGTTTAACTCAACAGTAATCTACTTTTACTTAAATTTCATTGGACACAGATTAGCGTATTAATTTGGACTTGTCAGCTGTCAGGTAGTTTTTAATGTGAATTATGCTCCTGAAAAGCTCCTCTGTTCTGGTGACATTATTTTCTATCGCCGCAGCAGCAGCGTTACAGCGCCGGCTCATTTGCCTTCCTCTGCCGCTGTCATTTCCTGTTATTCTGTATGTTCGATCATTACTCACCGGTCTGCACTTTTCCTGGTCCTCTAGAATTATGTGGAGCTTTTATATCTTAACAGAATCTGCCTTTTTCACCGGGTCTCAGCGTCATAAAAAATGCATAGAGTCAGTGAGGTAGATGCTGCCCACTGAGGTTTAAATCATCCAAATTTGTTTCTGCCTACAGGACGGCTCCGCCCGTGTCACCTCCACGAGACAAGTCTGCTCAGTCATCTCAGGAAATAAGTGTCAGTAATCCACTTTTCCATGGAAGCACCTCTTAAACTCCTCAGAGGTCTGGACATCTTCATTTTCAGAATCAGGAGCTGCTCTCCCCGTCATAAATCCATACTGTAAGGTGGCGAGGACTGCAAATGTTTTCTTCAGCCTCCAGAACAGTTTTTTTTTGTCTGCACTGGAAAGCAGCTTCTGTCTCAGCTCCATCAGCTCTGTTATTACCACAAAAACAAACCCAGAGCAGACACTTATGAGAACAAACATCTGCTGTTTATCATGAGCCACAACTTCAGACAAAGAGTCTGTAGCCATAGCGATGAGACGGCCCGCACATATGGAAGGAAAGGTCTGCGGATCGAGCCGTATAGAGCGCAGCTTTTAACGGCTCTCAGGGATGTTTGAGGTGAAATTAAGAATTAATCTGGTAAGGATTTATGTGCTGATTGTTTCTTGATTATTGTATTACTGATTAAGTCTATTCAACGTAAGACGAGGAAGTGAAAAGTACAGTGCAGCTCCCGGGGCGCACAATTAAGTTTGAAATTGCTTATTATATCTGATGAGGAGTTAAATGCCCAAAAGGTATCCGGTTTGTGATTACATAAGAGAAAGAAACGCAAGTGAGAACGAGTGGGCATGTTTAACCGAAGAGTTCAATAAATATAAATAAGGTGTTTGCTCGTGGTTATGGTCAGGGAGGCCTCTGATAACTGTGTTGAGAAGCTTCGTTCACATCTTAGATACAAAGTGTGGATTACAGCTGAATAATCCATCCTGAAATATACTCGTTATACATCCCAACATACTGTCATCTCTCCTGTGGCGTTCAGCCTGTAAAAACGCCTGCAGCCATCTTCCCGCCTTCACCACAGAGTGTCACTGTTGCAGCACTGAGCCTTCACTCTGTTTGTGTGAGGAGGAGGAGGAGGAGGAGGAAGAGGAGGAAGAGGAGGAGGGAGATCGACAGACAGAGGGAGTGAGGGAGGCAGCTGCTGGGCAGATCATCAGTCTGTCTCTTACTGTAGTCGTCTTGCTCCTCTCTCTCTTTCTCTCTCTCTCTCCCTCCCATGGCTCCGCCTGCCCCAGAAACAAGGTAGTTGCGTCTAATTGCTCTAATGGCGTCCCATCCTCATTAGACTCTTGACCTTGGCTGTGCGTGATAAGAGCGGGTCAGTGCGGATTAGAAGTGGCCCCCAGGTCTCCTCCAGTTACCAGTCAATACCTCCATCTCAATCCACTCCCCTGAAAAAAAACCACAAGAGCCTCCATGTCAAACTGGGCACATTTCAGAGATTTTTCCCTCTTTTTTCCTTTTTTTCGGCTGATCCCGCTGGATGTGTCGAGTCTTGCCGCGCATGCAACTGTTAGCTCAGAGCAGTGACAGCAACTGTTCAATAATGCATCATTTAAGGTTTTATTTTTATCTTTGCAGGAGCTGTCAGGGGCATGTTTGACACAAAAGACTGATTATACATCTTATATAGTTTTTATTCACTGACAGATGGTGTTATTATTATTCAAGTGAAGAAACAGAGTCTTTGTGACCCTTTAAAACGGCTCTGTGACGGTCTAAATCGTCGAAATCACAGAGAACATGAAAGAAATTAACCTGCTGCAGGTAATTCTGTATATTGAGAGGTGAGCACGGAAAGATGAAGATGATCTGTCCAAAGGAAGGCTCTCAGTAGTCACGTTTATATATTTACATGTGCAAAATTTATTGATCCGATTAAAAATTTGAGGGATTGGAAAACCTGAATTCACTGTTTATATTGGCGCAAAATCAAATAATCCGATCATGATGTTCGTATACATGCATCAAACTTTATCCAGATTAGAATCAGTTGGACATGCGCAGAGTCGTCTGATTTTGCTACAACAAATGCAGAAGAAGACGAGTTGCATTTACAACTTGTGGTGTCCCGATACAACTTTTTTACCTCCGATATGAAACCGATATTGTATTCCTAGATATTGGCCGATACTGATATTGATTGGATATTAGCACAAAATTGTGCGTGACAAGTTTTTCACTCAGCTGCAACGTCTTTTTCACTCCATCACTGCTTCTCCTTGGTACTTCGGTACACACTGTTGTTGTGATCATGTGGGCTCTAGATGCTGGATCAGGGCTCTGCTAGCTAGAGGTGCCGGAGTGGAATCGGGAGTGGACTGCCTGTATCGGAGTGCTGATATCAAAGATTTTCGATGCAGGTCGATATGATCCCATATTTGATTTTTTTGCTGATATCCGACCGATATCCGATACCAATATCGTATCGGGACAACCCTATTTATAACCATTACCCTTTTGTCACTAGATGGCGCCCTTGCTCACTTATTTTACTGTTCTGTCAAAGGTTGCTCTGTGCGTACAGATGTGACAGTGTTACGCTGTGTGTACGCCTTGTTATGTTATCGGAGGAGCAGACACAGCACCTGATGTGCAACCTCCTGAACCGTCCTCAGTAAATAGCGATGACAATAATAATTAAATTACGATCGGGATAAGTGTTTACATGGACGGATTTCGGAATAACAATCATCATAAACCACCTCTCTTGACCAGTATACAATTTCTTTCAGATTGTGTTGAATTGGATCAGATTGACATGTTTACATGACACATTTTTTTCCGATCGGGCCTTAATTCTGATTATTTGTGCCCATGTAATCGCAGCTATTTTAAATTAGTCAGCACTGCCTCTTTACTCACGACCTTAAAGAAATCAGCGTCACAAACACCAAATTTGGGGGATATAAAGAATCGTATCGATGTTGTTTGGCTGTTTTGTTCTTTATTAATAATTTTACAGTAACAGTTATTTTGTTGATTTTTTGTTTTATATTTTGTTTTTTAACTTATTTTTCCTGTTTGCTGATATTCTGGGATCTCTTCTGGTTTGTTTAGGAGAGGTATAAATGACCCTCTGGGCTTCAGCCGCTCCTTTTAGGTTAATGATTGTGTGAAATCAGAGAGGACAGATATAATGTTTTGTTTTGTATTTTGTTTTTGGTAGTTCTGGATTCACACAAAACCGTTATGCTTTGACGTCATAACCTAATGTATGTATAACCAAATACATTTCATTTATTCATTCATATTATTGTTTATATCTAGTCTGGACTGTATATATAATGCCAAAGTGTGAAGACAGGATCAGATTGAGTCTGGTTCTTGTAAGATCAGACCTGAAATCTGCAGCTTTTATCAAGTTACAGTAAAGAGGAAGAACTTCGTTTAACAGGCAGAAACCTCGAGGAGGACCAGACTGATGTTAGACCGTCATCTGCTGAGACTGAACTGAGGTTTAGAGAGACAGAAGTCCACGTCTGCTGCGTGAGTGAGTGAGTGAGTGAGTGAGTGAGTGAGAGAGAGAGAGAGAGAGAGAGAGAGAGAGAGAGAGAGAGAGAGAGAGAGAGAGAGAGAGAGTGAGTTGAGTGAGAGAGAGAGAGAGAGAGAGAGAGAGAGAGAGAGAGAGAGAGAGAGAGAGAGAGAGAGGAGAGAGAGTGAGTGTGACAATTTTTAGTCTGATGTTTCCTGAATTTGACTTCTAACATCATCAATAAGAGGAACATTTCTTTTACGTATTCTTAACTGAATATTTTACAATCAGTTTTATGTCTTCGGAGTAACAAAAATACGTTTTGGATCATATTTATGTAAATTCACTTTTAATTACGACAAAAACACACAAGGTATTGAGACTAAATTCAATCGACTGACGAATCTGCATGTAATTATCATCAGGAAGTCGGAGTTTGTGGACAGGTTATATTTTAGAAGGATACAAGAATCCGAGTCTCTGCGGTGAAGGATGAGAGGAGGATTTCTGAGAGATTAGAGGAAAACAGGTTTTTATTTTGGGGTTTGGAGAGAGTCCAAACAATCACAGCGTGATCTATTCTAACTTGCGAGCATCCGAAGAGTTTTCCGTCATTTTAAACGGAGGAAACGGAGCTCGCTGTATCAGGACAGATCATGTGATCACAGGAGGGAAGATTGGGGACCTCGAAAAGCTCGCCGTAATAATCCCTCGCCGCAGAATTTAATATTCACACCTTTTCCAATTTGAGCCTCGCCTCACCTCGGCTGCATCAGAGTGTGTGTTTGTTCGGAGGCGGAGGACACACAGGGAAGAAAAACAGAGCAAACAGAGAGAGAGAGAGAAATGTTGAGTTATACTCTTCAAGACCGAAAGGAACAACTACATGAGAGAGAGAGAGAGAGAGAGAGCAGTGGAGAATCTCTGCAGGCTACACAGCGATAAGAACATTATTAGGCTGCTATCCACCTATGCAATTACACTCAGCGCCTCTAAGCTCTCAAGGAGAAACCCCTCCCTCGCTCTGCCTCATCCTCAGTGCACCTGGAGGCTGTGACTCTGTGTGTGTGTGTGTGTGTATTATAATAGATCGAAGTGTCTGTGGCTAAGTATGTATGTGGGAGACACAAAGGCAGCGACACAAAGACAGAGAGAGACAGTGAACCGCAGAGAGCGAGCAGGATTGCATCAAAAGCAACAACAACACTTTGATCCCTTCAAATTCAGTCCCTCAGAAATCGAGTGCCCTGTTATATCCCAGCAGCTCTTCCTGTTTGCTCGAGACCTCTGCTGCTGAGTGCTTTGAGGCCCGTGGTAAACAAGTGCTAATATGCTACCTCTGCGAGAAAACAGCAGCTTAATGAAGGATTTACTTCCTCCTCTGACCAGCTCTGATGAGGGACCTGACGATTAGGAAGACTTCTGGCCTTTGGCGATCATTATGTTGCAGCGCTGACCCTCTTCTTCTTCTTCTTCTTGCAGCTCCGTTTTCAAAGTCAGCATTAATTAAGAAGCTGCATTTATTCTGTGAGAGGAGAGATAACGTATGCAGACATTAAATGACGGACGGAGCACTTCAAGAGGAAATCAACTTTAACCTCGCCTCTCTTCAATCTGTCGCTTCTCTCTGACTCAGACTCCTGCAGAGGAAACATCCTCTCATATATTCATACAAACCGTTTTTAAATATTGATGATCTTTAGCTTTTTTAATTATGCTCAGTGGCACGCCGGCGCTTAAACTGTGTTGTTTCTCTTTTCAATATTGGATTTAATTTGCATCAGTGCTTTCATTGTTTATTTCTCCTTTTTTTTGACATCTGGAATAAAAGCAAAATGCTTCAATAAACAAGGAGAACGCCGCCTCGTCTCATTATATCAAATCAACAGGGAACAAAACTGTCGGACTAAATTACTTCTCAGCAGATACGGCGTCAGAAAGTCCCCAAACATCGAGAGGAAAAAGATTATCGCCGCCATCACAGTGTATCAGAAAATGGAGTGAATCGGTTTGTACAACGCTTCACAAACCATGAAGCAAAGATGATGTCTTCGTTCAAAGAAAATCAATTTCTGCAGAAGATGATGGAACTGAAGGAGACTTTCAGTTTGGAGATTCTCCATCTCTCTGTGACGGCGTCAAACACGGCCGAACAACAAGTGTGTCGCCTTTTCTGCCTTTTTATAAACTTTTATTAAAGATGGAAGGGATTTTTACAGCCAAGCAAAAACTAGTGCGAGACACATTTCAAGACGCGTTTTTGAAGGGTGAGGAGAGGATTTCCTAAAGTCTGAACAGGAACTTGAAATATATAAAATTCCCGTTAAAAGACGTTTAATTTTCCACTATTAGCTGCAACTAGGGCTGCACAATTAATCAACTTTAAATCGTAATCAGATTATTTGATTATGACGATGTGTGAGCGCTCCCCAGTTCCCACACTCCAGTGTAAACAAACATGGCGTTTGCAAAAGAAGGCGATAATTTCGTGGTTAAACAGGACAAGAGCGAGTCAGTCGTGTTGAATTGGTACGACTTCACAGTTTCAGATGAAGAGTAAACCACTCCCCGCTGTAAAGTCTGTCTGAAGGCGGTATCAACCCGTCACCACGGAAACAAATTCAGGAGGAAACGCTAAAGTTTTTTTTGTCGTATTGGCGTTTCAGGTGACTGTAAACGGTACTTTTTGAAAACGGGTCAGAGAGTGAATAAATCTGTAAATAACGACCATTTCATCTCCGTGTGGATGTCTATCTGCATCTCTGGAAACGATCATGTGACACACAGAGGAACTCTTTTATGGCGCCAAAACAACCTTTATACACATGATCTGTACTCTTCTTCTGTCTTTGGTGTATTTCCTGTGCAGAGTTACGGCGCCACTTACTGGCTTGGCATATGAACTACATCATTTTCAGTGGTTTAGTTTTGAGAGATGATAGAAAAACTTTATATTTTGAAAGCGAAGTTTGGTGAAGTCGTCACTGAAAGAAATTAAAATTGAAAATCGAGTTTTCAGTGAAAAAAATCTGGTTTTTACTTTTGGCCAAAATCGTGCAGCCCTCGCTGCCACCATGTGGGCGTGTCAGAGCTGGAAGGTGGCTTCAGCACAACTCTGCCATGACTCACTGAAGATGCAACCAAATGTTTTCTGAACTCTTCTCTGGAAAATAGACGAACAAAGAAACGTTTCCATGCAAAGTTTAATTCGGTGGTTTAATCAGAACACTGTCCTTGTCCCAGTTTACAGTCAGGAATTACATTATTGATAGAAGCACGTTCACCTTCAGCTCTTTACCTTCAGGCCGTCTCCAGGTTAAAGAATTAGACGTCAAACCAGCCGACAACACAGGATGTACAACATGTGAAAACAGCTTCTGCTGTTTGTTAGGAAGTTTCATCCTTTATGTCCTTTCTTCATCCGTCAAGGTTTTGTTTACTATGTGGTTTCCTAGCAACGCATCAACGCTGTTTATCCTCAAGTACGTGCAAACCACTTCATGAACACTTCATGACAAAGAAAATGTTGATGTCTAACCACATTATCCAGGAATGTAGGAGTCAGGCCGAGCTGTGGTGGATGTGCAGTCAGGAACAAGAGCAAAGTTTAGAAAAGAGCAGAGAGAAGGTGATAGAACCGGACAGACGGACAAACGAAACTGATACTAGTTTAAAACTGGATCAGAGGTCGGTTTGACTATTTTAGGGAACCGTACTTGTGCATAAACAAAGTCCATCTTTATCTTCAATGTGGCGAAAAGAGTCTCAAAACAAAAGGGGGAAGACTGAATCCTCACAGGCTGATAACAGGATAATCTATGAGTATTTTTGTGTAGCAGCAGAGTGACTGTGTGTGTCCGTGCTTAGATTTGTGCAGAAAGGTGAACGTGTGTGTGTGTGTGTGTGTGTGTGTGTGGAAGATGGACAAACCCAGGGGTCCGTTTATCTAAGCTGACAGAAACAATTTACAGCACTGCCAAATGTGGAGTGGGCGCCCCTCACACACACACGGTGAAGTGGAGGGGAACGAGACAGCGAGAGGCGTCTCGAAGAAAAAGCCCAATAACAGCCTGCAGCCACTAATAACAGCAGACCGGGGACCAGATCTGGCCCTGGCATTCTCTCGCCATGACTGACCCACCCATCCATCCGTCACCGCGGCGTTTCGTTCATTACCCCCCACCGCGGCGGTCCGGCCTGTTTGTTTCTAATGGAAATGTTTAGTGGTTTGGATTAAGTTTCAGCGCACAGTCCGAGGAGATGAACAGGTGATCAGTGATAATTCAGGATTATTTACCTGCTGGAGGAGAAATGAATGACCTTTGATATCAGCATTTACAAACCGGGTCAGTGAGTCCTGACCTTTGTTAAAGTGAGTTAAACACTTCAAAAGATTATGATAAATGGATCCTGCTGATGTTGAAGCTAAAAGATGTGAAAACTACTCAGTGAACACGGTTTCTGAATTTTCTCTGATGGAGCGTCTTTCTCATGGAGTCCCTCAGGGGTCGATTCTCGGGCCCTGTCCTTTTTTTTTTAAACATTTTGAAGGGTCAGTTACTGCGACTTGGAGCTTTTTTCAAACTGTTTCAGAGATGACGTTTATAAGGCGACGTTCATACCTCAGGTTATGATGCACAATTCGGATTTCTTGTTAAATCCGATCTTTTTGTGCAGTCGGTCACATTACAACACTGTAACGTCTAATGTGAATGGAATGCGTCCGTGAAGTGACCTGCATGTGCACAAAGCACAAATTTCTTTCCGCGCCTGTTTGTGTTGTTGAACAATGGTGACGTTTGTCGCATATTGATGACGTATCGGTCGGATGAACACTGCAGTCACAGCGGATACATTTCCGATTTACATCCACATACAAAAGAGGCCTGGGAGGATTAGAACAAATCAGATATGAGTCACAGATGGTTAAAAATATCAGAATTGACCTGCAGTGTGAACGTAGCCTAACTGATGGAAAACACCTGGACCTGTTAACTTGAATAAATATTTCATGTGTGAGACCTAGTTTTCTGGGTTGATCACTTTTTTCTGCCTTCCTTTCACATCTATTGATAGTTTAGAAAGTTCTCTATCGTTTTATAAAACCCAGATTGATGATTTGAGCCTCTGACTCGTCCAGCTCTTGTCGTATTGTTGTCAGAATTTAATGTGAAAAGTTTTCTTTAGATTTTCTTGTACCGTTTTTCCCCGCCCTTCCTCTCAGTTATCAGCTAATCGTTCACATCCAGCTCTGAAACTGCTCCTTTAAAAAACTACAGACCAACCTCAAAATGAACTTTTTTGTTTAAGATACTTGAAGAATTTGTCACTGATTCTTAAAAAGATGCAGAGAAAGTCCAACGCTCATTTCCATCTCATTTTGCATTTCTGGTCCATCTTTGAAACGGTTACAGATATTTTAATTCTGCCTCCTCCTCCTCTGCTGTTCTGTTGTGAGGAGTTCATCAGGGTCCTGTCTTTGGACCACCTGTTCTTCCTCTACACTCAGCTGTTATTCTAAAACAGAGAATAACTTTCCTTCAAAAACAAACACGAAGATCAGCTTCTAAACTGTGTTTGAGGATGTTGATCCCCTGATCTTGTTGTTCTGTTTCGTGTTTATACTGTATTTTTTTCTGTATTAGGGTGTTTAAACTTTCATTTGTTGTAGTTTTTGTTGACTGAAGAAGTTTCTGAAAACATGTGAACTCGTCTGAATTTTGAGTATCCTGAAAATAAGCTTTGGTTTGTTTTAACTGTAGTTGAAAAGAAATGAAACTCACATTTTTCTGACCTCATGCAAATTTGAAGAGAGCGTTGATTTAATGCTGAACTTTCAGAGTGAATATTTTTACAAAAGTATTGACGCCTCTGGCTAAACGGTTAGCTTTTAAGTGATGAATTAAATAAGAGGGGTGATGCTAATAGGCTGAAGATTTGGCAGGCAGCCCTGAATTTGTCAAAGATTAATAATTGATAATCACTTAGTTGTATGATGTTGAGTTTCTGTTGCGTGAGGAGGGATACTCACAAACATGAAAAGGTAAACGCCGAAACGTTTCAATTAAAACTTGTCAGGGATCTCTTTAGGCCCCTCCCACCTGGACACGATCTGATCAGCAAATCAACGATCTGTGCAGGAGTCCAAAAGAAAAACCAGTGACACTCCCAGTTTAGGCCGGGACCAGCTCCACTGATAACCTGCAAAATGATGCATAGCAGCAGATGCTGGCAAAATATGCATGATTAACACCCCGTCTGGTGGAAACAACAGCCAAGTGTACAATGTCAACTCTTCTCATATCCTCTTCCCATGTCACTAACAAACGCCCACACACACACACACACACACACATAATGGCACACAACGGCACAAAGTGAGCGCTGCAGCAGCCAACACTAGAACCTGACTGAGCATCAGAGCAGAATAAAACACATCAACCGTCTTTTTATTGGTGTTTTTTATTCCTCCTGTCTGAGATTTCATCTGTGGACCTGATCAGAAACACTAATCTCTCTGTTATCTCTGGTTTGTTCTCAGGAATATTACAAACTCACACTCTCCTGGACAAATTAGGTCATTTTTATAAAAATATAATCCTGGTTTAAGCTAATTTTGACTCCGCAGGTATCTGTTGATTACAGTCGTTCCACATTATCACTCTCAGGATTGTGTTTTAGAGGATTATACATTAGAGTGTTGCATCATTAAGAAGACAGCGGCGATGTTCGTGCCTGTAATACTTCCCTTCCT